TAAAGAAAAGCAACGTCTGCAAAATGCAATAATTGCGCACAAATGACAATAACAGCACGTGTTCTACGGAGCCACATAAAAATAGAAAATACACACCTAAACAAAAAGAATAATTAAGAACTTTGTAGTCGGACAAGGTCGACCTTACGGCCGTTCGTCTAGCGCAATTATTCGGTGATTTTAGTAATAGTACACAAAAATCGCACATTATTTTCATACAAGGTCACACTTTTTGTGGAAGCCTGCATGTTGGCGGATGTCCCATGACATCACATGACGTGATACCAATATAGCAAACATAATTTACTTCCTAAAAATTGCATAATTTTTCAGTTCCCGTCATAAAAAACTAGAAACTACACTTTCTCTCCATATAAGGTCATGGTTTTCATGATAACCCTTGTATATGTTAAGGTGTATAAAGTAGACCTATATGACCCAAATAATTTGCTACAATCGACCCATTTTCATCACAAAACGTTAGAAATGAAGTCTTTTCTGAAAGGCTTACTATTTAGCATTAAGTGTATTATAAAAGATTTGATAGAAATTTTTCAATTACAGGTTATTGATATGTCTTGGAGGGCGCTAATCAGCATCAGAAAAATCCAATTTCATCGCGATATGCAAACAAACGCTTTTAAAAATGTTTGGGATCGAACCGCTTTTCCTACCCCCCTTCCGATATACCGGCTTACTTGAAAACGTAAATGCAGGATGGTGTAGGGTATTTAAAGGCGGGCCGTGGCCGTGGCCATACTCCCTTAGCTTTGTTTTGAGATGATAATTAAGTTTATAGATGCATGCTTTCTATAATTGTTCGACATTAACCCTTTGTAATTTTAAGTCTCTTTTTCTCTTTTTTTTTTTGTTTTACCCACCGCTAACTCCTTAATTAATAGTTTAAAAGAAATACAGCAAAGGATCAACTTTAATTTAATTAATTACTGCATTTCTATATTATTGAACCTTTATGTTTTATTCGATTTTTTTTTTTACTTCGCCGTAAACTATTACTTACCAAAGGCACAGAATTCTGCAAAGAAGTAAACTTTAAAAGCTTTGAACTATCGCGGTGAGCGATCTTTATTTCAGTTAACCGAATCAACCTTTACCATAGCAACCGAATCAAAGTTTTATATTAAGCCTTGGTGAGAGAATATATTTTCCTTTCTTTAGTTTATTAAAATGAAAACCTATTTAAAAAAAAAATTTTTTTTTTGTATATAATTTATTTATTTATTTATCTTCCTATTTATTTTTATTAAAACATTCGCAATAATAATTAAATAAAATCGATTGTGCATTCGCCTAAGTGGCCGAGAAAGCACAAGATTCCCACTAACGATTCAATCGTCGTAGATTCAAACCTCAAGTGCGGAGGGATTTTAAATGAAGCGGTTAGCCTTACACGGTAGCGCTTCAAGATTATCGCCTTAGAATTTATTTCTCTCGCTCAATTTTCCTAAAATTAAGACAATAATAATATATAAAATCGAAAATATGATTCAATAGTTGCTAGAAAATATCACCCTGTGGCTACAACTGAAGGCGTCGATGGCATCGAAAAAATTGGAAAGGCACGTCTTCGTGAGAAATATGCTTAAAGTTTCATGTTTCAGAGCTGGTTCTTCAATAGAAATGTAGTTTTTTTTTTTTTCTTTTTTTCTAAAGAAGGAACGCTAATGACTATAAAAATGGCAATTTTTTAGAGATACAGCGTACAATAACAGTTCGAGTACATAAAGTATTAAGAGGTAAACAACCGCTATTTTTGCTTTACTCCGGAAATGGGAGGTTTGCCCGATACAATTGGTCTGAACATTGTAAACATTTTGTACAATCGTCGCGGGATTGTGTTTTTATTAACCATACTTTTTTGTATCTAATCAAGCTTTCGAATGGATACAAAATGCAAAAAGTAATACGAGGGGAAGAGTATGTTCAGGAAATTGGCTCTTCGAATTATATACTATATCGTCTTACCCAAAACCATGTACACTTTACGAAGTATATAAGAAAGTGAAAAATCGGAAGATGCTTATTTTTGCTTAGACTTGGCTTGATTTCATCTTCATGATGTAGTGTGATAAGTGATTGTATACCAATGGCTGTTCGCAATTGTTTTTGGCACTAACTGCTTTAAAGCACTAGATCTTCGACTCGAGGCAAACACAGTCTTTTATACATTAAACGTATAACACTTACATAGGCTGCGGCCACTCCTATCTCTCTTCCTCTTTGCCAACTTCTTTCTGATCAGATCGCAGTGCTACACGTACAGGAGACATCCCCTGAGGGATTGAACGAAGGAAAAAACGAAACGTAGCATTTCATGCCGAACTCGAAGTCGATTGTTGCGTTCAATTTATTTAACAAATATGTATGTGTTGAACTGACAATTGAATTGACATATAACTGAGATATAACGCAGTAAATTCAACAAAATACAAGAATTTCTTTCAATTGTCATTTTTATACAAACCTTGATGTACGAGTTACCAATAAAAAGGATAGGAAGATGAACAGATGCAGATAAACTAACTCTTTATCTTACGTTGATCGAATATTATTAGTACACTTTCTGAGGACCCTTAGCGTCGCAAAACAAATGACAAAATTAGTATACATTTACTCTTTATTGATGACAATAAAAACTAGTTTGTTCAACCTTCAAAGTTGGTTACAAATATTGGTTTAGAAATTTTTTTTTTTTTTTTCGTATCTTTGTCTTTTTGTTTTTATTCCGCACTAGATTGCGGTGCGGATGGTGCACGGGGCATTGTTTGATGATCTTAACTAGTTTTTGATAGCAAACATCTAAAGTGGTCGTCTGGTTTCTTGGAGGCAAGTGAATACGCAGAGCATCTTTGCGGTGCTACCGCACTGAGAAAATTCACTTTTTCCTAAACGATTCAGTTTACGATATGTTTGGCGCTGGTTCATTAATATGTCTTCCGACCGCATTTGCAGACCCTCATAATTATGCGTTTCATAAAACAACTATTAGGAAATATTAATTGATCGTTTTAATCAATGATTTGTTCTTTTCCTTTTTTTCAATGATTGTTATGAAAACTAAATTTCAAACTCTTTACCGAGATAAATACTCGAGAACATGCTAAAAGATATTAACTTAATATCAACAGTTTTGTGTGATACCTTTAACTATTTGTCAAACGCTTGAGTTATATGGCCTTTATTAGTCATTTTTCTTTTAATTTAGCTGATCCGCGCTCAATATAATCAGCCATCAGGCTCATGGACAGACAAATGAACTTAAAATACTTAATTAGATTTAAACAATGGTTCCGAATTGCTTGATGCAAGAAAAGATGGGTCCATCTTAAAACATGTTGAGTTACATATACCCGCACAAACTTAAGAATATAATTCACTATATGAAAAATTTTCGTTGCGGAAAACGTTTAACAAGCAATAAAAGCATATATCTCCTGTAATGGGCTTAACAAACCGATTAGCAAATGAAAAAAACTATTAGGTGCATAAATACATTCCCTCTGTATTTTTTATTGGATAAAATCCAAATTTATTTAAAGTATATTTGTTACAAAAAATCAAGTTAATCAAAATATATCTTATTATTAACTGCGATCGTTGGCCTTTTGCCGGGCAGCTTACGGATGCCCACACAACTGTAATTTCGTGACTTCTTACATCTTCAACTTTTATAAATCGCTAATCTGCGAAATAGGACTACATCGACGTGATGTAATCAGGACGCATCGGTTGCATGTAAGAATTTATGTGCGGTATTTGGAATTGTAAGTATTCGTCCTTGTCAAAGATGATTGAACAAATTTCGTTCCGGGGATGTGAGCCTCCAAGAAAGTGATCGATAATGATGTTTTGCGATTCATGTTGGAAAATAATCCACATTTAATAAATCGAGAAATTGCAGAAGAGTCAGGCATTCATTATACAACTGTTGGAGATCACATTAAATCTCTTGGATTTGTGTTAAAGCAAAGTACATGAATAAAATACGATAGAACTTTCCCTCTAACCTATTATTTCAAAACGTATGGCATTATTTCCATACCAAGGCAAGTTAATCATCTCCTTAGGTTTAGCTGAATTTTTTTTTTTTCCAGTTTACAATAGAGTAAGTTGTCGAAGCGTAAAAGATACCCTCAAACATCTCTTTACATATTAATACACACTGAACGGTCTATTGTAAGCAATTGAAGCAATCACTTTCAACACAAGTCGGCACTCATTTATACACCTAATATCTTTGCGGTATTGTGAGTGAGTTAATTGGCTGATGAGAATCACCTCTTCTACGCTTTCTTCGGATAGCGTTGATATTTGCGATGAAAATTAAAGCGATATCTCTAAGAATCATCCATACAGAACTAGTTTTTTTAATGCGGTGGTATTTAGAAAAAATGTGTGAAAAGGAAGAGAAAGAACGAGAGCTAGATAGATAAATAGATAGATAGAAAGAGAGAGCGAGAGAAAGAGAGAGAGAGAGAGAGAGAGAGAGAGAGAGAGAGAGAGAGAGAAGAAAGAGAGAGAGAGAGAGAAAGAGAGAAAAAGAGAGAGAAATACAAAAATTTTCCATCAGAATAGGGTTTTTCGAGCATCACATAATTACAAACATAATATATTCTACAAATCGTCAGTCAGAAAATGTAAAAATATATTAATTTATAATAATTTTAAACAATAAATAAACAAATAAATTGTATAAAGTGTATTATTAAAAACAGCAACGAAGGAAGGAAACAATTCAGGTTAGAAGGAAATGAAGCCGGTGTCGACAATTTCGACACTTATATTACCCTTGAGAGTTTATTCGTTTATTCGTGTACATGTGAAGAGCAAAAGGAAATACTTTGGAAATTGAGAACAATTCGTTGCAAACTTATTTACATACGTCAATTTGAAAAAAAGAGCTTATCTTACTTTTTATTAAATTAAATTTTTTATGGCATACAAAAATTTAACTCAACATTTTAAAATATTAAGTGCAGCCTTGTCTTACGTCAATTTAATTATAATAGCAAAGCGTACAGAAAACTCAAAAAGCGGCGCTTATTAGAGCGTTCAAGATAAGCATTGCAATCAGTTTCGAAAGAGTCATCGACAAGAGAACAAGTACATAACAACAGAAACAGAAACTCATTTGAAACTGATACAGAAATGCACGCACACAAACAATCGTTTTATAAATTACTTAAAATATCAACCAACTCAATAAATTTCACATTTAAACGACTTCTTAAAGCGTGTCTCGACGAAACTAATGGATTTATAGTGATTCAGGAAGACTCGCATCAAGAATTATTGAAATATCCAAGTGTATGGTTACGTGACAATTGTTATTGTAATGCATGTTTTCACCCCATAACAAAATCCCGTATACACAATTGGGATGAATTTGATGTAAACGTTAAGGCTGAGTATTTACAGGTATTTACAAAATGATCTTCAATTATTCATTAAATAGACAAATATGCTCACTTCTTCTTCCATCCGCGAGGTAAATGTGGATACAAAGCAAATTATTATCGATTGGAGCGATAAACATCATTCGGTCTACGATTTAAAATGGTTAAAAGAACGGGCATTCAATGAAAAATATCGACAAGATTATCTTAAACACTTTTATAGACCAAAGACCCAACATTGGCCAGGAAGCGATTTTAAGAGAGTCGCTCAATTATTTAATTTTAATAGCATTATGAATGACAATAATGGTAAGTTAAATAAAAGTAAATAAAAAATTTTTAGAGTGGACGGCAGCCCACCATTAAATATCTTACACAACTCCGTTTAATACAGTTGTTCATATAATGCCGTTTTAAAATCAAACGTTTTATGAGAAGTGATCGAAAAGGTGGTCCGAGCAAAACCATCTCTAATAATGCACGTTTTTGATCCAAGACACACCGATATAAAAAATTTCAACAAAATATCTCAGAAATTGCAGCCTGTAAATTCAAAAATATACAAGAGGGACAGATGGACAGATAAGCTTCTGTATAATAAAAAGTGGGTCTATCTCAAGTCCTTCTGGTTATTATTTACACCAAAAGTGGTGGTGTGGGATATAAAAAACGAAAAACTAAAAAAAATTGAAACGAAAGTAAAAACACCAAAGATGCACCAAAGATGCTAATAATTGTGCCACAAAGGGAATTTACGAAATTTCATGCATATCAAGCTAAGAAAAATATTGAAAATGCATGTAACATTTGCCAAGGTTGTGTGAGTTAGCGCGCACAATGTCAAGATGTTTATTTAACAGGAGATCAATTTGAAGTGTTTAACTCTTATTTGTTATTATATTTTTTTGATTAGTTCTTAGATTATGGCTGGAATGTTTGGCTACTTACGGTGTGGCCATTATAAAGGAGGCGCCCATTGAAAAGTCAGTGGTAAGACAACTGGGCAATCGTGTTGGCTTCTTAAAAAGCACAACTTATGGGTAAATCAAATTAAGTTAAAAATCGTGACAGATAAAAAAAATCGTGTAATAAAGAGAGAATTTTTTTTATCTGTATTTTATAATAGAGAAGAATTTATTGTACAAGCCAAGGCAGATGCTAAAAACGTAGCTTATCTTTCGGATCCTTTGCCGCCACACACAGATTTACCATATTATGAATACAAGCCTGGTTGCAATCTACTGCACTGTATGGTGCAATCAAAGTCTAAGGGTGGCTATAACTTACTCGTCGATGCCTTTCATATAGCTGATCGTATGAAAGCCGAACATACGAAGGATTATAAGATTTTGCTAAGTACTCTGGTCGATTGGAATGACATTGGTAGCGAAAACGATCGAGTTTTTCATAATATTTGGAGAGCGCCAGTTATAGTGTAAGTGAAAAGCAAACTACAAATATCTCCTAATTGAGCAAATGAAATGAAAGAATAAGATGCATGTAAATACTTGATAGCTTTTAGAAAATGTGAAGCGAAATGTGCGTAGCATAGCGAATTGTATTTCTAGCTTTCGTTCCATCAACCATAAATGAACCTTCAATCTAAATGCGTATTAGAAGAAAACAAAGCCCATATACAGATTGTCAGAGAGTGAGGAATATTAAGTTTGTTTTTGATATTATCGTATTTCGAAAGGGGGGGCTCAAAACCCATATAAAGCATGTGTGGCTTTCAATGATAATGTAATGCAGGTTAAGTCAAAACATTATATGCGGTCATGGCTCACTATTAAATATTATACTTTCCGTACAGTGCCTTATTTTGAAAAGTCGTTATGTAGGAAGCGATTCATTCTGAACCGATTTGACCAGCATTCACCTTTAGGCAAAAAAGCACTAGTATACCAAATTTCATCAAAATACCTCATAAATTGTGATATATAGGTTAAACGCAAGAAAATAAGATGGACAGACAGGCGCACGTGTTTAAATCAAATCAGAAAGTGATTCTGAATCGATCAGTTTAATAAAAAGGGATCCATTTCAAGCCCTTCCACGTGTTAGATACATCCGCAAAACCTAAATGTACCCTTGCACCGCAACGGATGTAGAGTATAAAAATGAGTTGGCCTTTGCGTCTTCTAAAACCAGAAGTATTTTAAATGCAGATGAATTACCCATGAGTAGTCGAATAGGTAAAAATCACGACTACCAAGTCAGTGTTCGTGAGTTCAAGTCTCAAATGCTGCACAGTGAGCGCTTAGTTGGCAAAGGAATAACACTTATCGGTCGTTTCCTTTCCTCATTTATTTCTAACCCCTCGTCCTGGTACACGAATACCGCACGCTCCACAAACGATTCAACGAAAAAGCGAGGACTAAGTTTACAATTTATGCAAAGGAAGCAATTGGAAAGGTGGTTTTTTTAATATTTACCCTTATGGACTAAATCGATAACGAGTCTCGCGCAAAATTATGTTAATATCTCGACATAAAAACTTTCGCTGGACCATCTGATATATCCAAGAATTAATAAGGCATTAAAAGTTTTTAATATCCGTGGAAGGAGGGGGGAGGGGCTTATGAAAAAGACATATGAATTTATTTTGTGATTAATCGCTTCAGATTATTTGGACGGCAATAGTTAGTATTCTAGTATTATAAATATATAGTTTCGTCTCTTGATTTTTTTTTGTTTTTCAAGTTTAATTGTACATCAAAAATGAATAGTGAAAATTTGTTGGTAGTTTTGGAAATCTCACTAAGATTTGAAAGCGCGTTCTATGACGCTGGTCTTGCTCATTACCAAAGAAAGTTATTCATCTGTAAATGGTAGATAACTTGAATTTGTTTTTTCAACAGTTGCTCAGTGTCGTTAAATTAAAAAAAAACTAATTTTTTTTTTTTATTTCCTTATATTTCTCCTGCTACTTATTCTCTTCCTTTATTGCAACAGTTTAGACAACGAAGGAAATTACATGCGTATAAATCACAGTATACCGCAACGCGATAGTCACTTTTCAGTACCAATCGATAAAGTTCTGCCCTGGTATGAGGCATACACAAAGTTTGTACGTCTGGCACGTAACGATGCTATTACATTTAAAACGTCACCCGGCGATGTTTTAACATTTAATAATTTACGTGTGCTGCACGGCCGTACGGGTTACGATGACACAGACGAAAATGTGCGTTACATTGTCGGAGGCTATCTTGACTGGGATATTATTTACTCCAAGCTGAGAGTATTAAAAACCACCACTAGGTAAATGGTAGACTGAAACTCTTTTCATTTTCCTAACATGGATTTTGTCTTTATAAAGAATTCTTTTTTTTTTTTTTTTTTTTTTTTTTAAACAATAAAAGCCACTTTTCTACTTCCTCCGATCAGTGAGGAAGTAAATTATGAATATTATTTTTTAAATTTATTTATGTGATTCTTTTATGCTCACTAGGGGAAATATTGAAATGTATCAGGCAAGTATTGCTGTTCCATTCCTCAATTGTTTCACACATTTATTTATGATATATCTTAATTAATCGTAAGCTGGCAATTTTTTAATTTTCATTATTTTTGATATAGTATTCTGCCTAAACACTTTTTAGTGCCATTTCTAGGCACAGTGTGACTATGGCTTTGATTGGCCAAAGTGCACGGTTTTGAGGAAAAAAGATTTGCTAACGTGAGAAGAGTTTGACCGATTTTTTCCCATGACAAATATAATTTTGCCACTTACTGAAGGATTGCCAATTTTTAAAGTGCAGTTTCGGTTTCAACCGTATCTTGTTACTCAGCAACCACTTACTTGCTTTTCTCCTTTTTTTTTTGTCGTCAAACACATATTAACCATGACTTTTGTAAATTATAATATCAAACGCGAGGGAAATCATTACTTTTTTTCGGCTTATGTTTCATAAATAAATTTCAAAGTTAAAGTGCAGCAGGTTTCAGCAAAAATATATGACAATATTAAAGTAAGACGCTAAGTAAACAGGAGTCTTCTCTACCGTATCTGCAGCAGCATTCCGTATGTATATCTCCGGAAAGCACATATAACTATAACTTTAGATAAGAAAATCTAAACTCCAACCTAAACTGAACTCTTTGCGGAAACATAATCAAACCCAATACGCTAGCTAGCAACACATCCGTTTTCAAACTTTTAGTTCAGTTCTGTGCACTTGACAGCTTTTGTTTAGCATAAGGCATCGCGACAATACAGAATTAATTTAATTTTACCTTAAATTATGACAAATACATATACATTTTTTTTCGTAAAATGTTTATAAAATATTACGCTTAGTTGACCAGGCAAAGCATGACAGTTTATTTTGCTTGTAGAAAAAAAAAGAAGGTAACTCCGCCTTTAGTTACTTCAGGACAACGCATATTGGTTGGACTTGATTTGTTGTTTTAAAAACAAAGACAAGCAAAAACGCTATAATCGGGCAAGACCGACGATTAAATATACTACGTCTCATCGTCTAATCTTCAGTATTTGGTGACAAAAAATCCAAAATTAATGTCTTGTTTCTTTGCAAAAGCAAGCTTCCGATAGGAGCCCTTTAATCACGTGAGATCTAAAAAATAGAATTGCTTGCTTTAGAGGGTAGTTCCTAGGTCCATCTAATTATTATGATTATTATTAAATTAGCCAGAGAAATAAATTACAAGTCCGTAATCTTAATGCACTAGCATCTAAGGCGATCGGCTTTATTGAAAATTCCGCCGCACTTGGATTTGAACACATTATCATTGACTTGTTAGTCCAGATCCTTTGCCTATTCGTACAATCAGGCGCTTACGTAGGACAATTGTTTATATCCTACACTACGTCATTGAGTTTGAAATTATTTTCTGAATCGATCTAAGCCTGTCTGTCTGCCTGTCTCTGTGTCTCTCCGTCCGTCTAATGTCTATCCGCGTACAGTGGTATTTAAGCTGCAAGTCGGAATTTATGAGATATTTCGATGAAATTTGGTACATTGCCATGCTTTGACTCAAGGACGAACGCTATTAAAAATGGTTTAGATCGTACCACATTTCCCATCACCCCCGTGTGACAACCTATTTCGAAAAGTCATAGTATGGAAAAGATTACGATTTTGAAAATTTTTGGACAAAACTCGCTAAGTAATAGTACTTCGACATATTAAATTGGTATGAAAAACTTGGTTCTGTTGGAGGAATTTCTTGAATATCCCTCTATACTACAGTTTCTACTAAAATTGAATTTTTATATGCTAACAATGTCCAAATTTCAATATTTCATGGTGAAAATAGTAAATTGATAAACAAATCAACCTCATCGAATTTGGACCATGTAGGTCCATTTTTTGGATAGGACCGCATATAAGGATTCCCCCAATATGCGGGATTTAATGGAAATTATGCTAATGTATAAAAATAATGTGTAACTTTTGGTGTATTATTATCGATACGAGTTAATAACCGTATTAGGCAAGGTTGTGCAGGGTATTCAGCTGTCGGCCTTGCCCGACTATCACGTCTTTACTTGTTCAATTTCAATTATTACTATATGTTCATCCTACGATATTAAAAATTAAAACTTACGTTTCATAACAATTCGTATATGGAATGGAGTGCAAGAAATTGGTGTACGTAGTCCATAATAATTATGTCCAATTCCTATTATGCAAAAACATTTCTTATGATATTAAAAACGAATTACTTTTGCTCTATAACGGTGCACTTTTCGTAGCAATTATTATATGAGTGATAGTTCGCAAAATTGGCCGATACGATGCAAACTTTTCAGGTCAATTTAGTACGCTGGTGTGCTATCACTCGGCGATTTTTGTCCAACAATTTAGAAAATTGCAATTTTCATTGCAATTGGTATAACGATTTTTTCAAGATAAACCGTTAATTGCGAATTGGTCGGAAAAGTGTTCCAATTCAAAATATGTTCCGAAGGGCTCGTCTTTGGGCCTAAACACGTCAACGTAGCAAATTTCCTTAACATATACACATAAATAGACATCTGACGGACCGTTGAACAAGCTTAGATTAATTTAGAAAATAATTCTGTGTTAAAGTTAGGTTTTTCCTTTTCCTTGGACGTTACATAGAGCTACGTTAATAAAATACACCAAAGTATATTTTTGCCGCTGCCAGCAAAAATGAAGCTATCGAACGCAGGTTGCTATTGAAAATGTACCAAAGCGGTTGAAGGACCCGCCTACAGTACTATGTAAAATGAGAACGTGAAAAAATTGACCTCGCCTACCCAATATTATCGTGTATCAAAACTTAATTTTTCTTTCAATGCCATTATAACGGGCAAAAATAAGCTTCAACAACACCATAAAGTATATACAGTTTTGGCCAGTTTCAAATTTGGAATCTATCGAAACACGCCCGTCTGTCCGTCTGTCCATCTGACCATCTGCCCAGTTGTGCCTCGCCTACAAATTTGCAAAAGAATTTTGCAGTGACTTAATTTTCAAATTTCCAACCCTTAGGAATTTGGGTTTTAACCCGATTGCCTCTCTTCTTCCGTATGAAAATAGGTTGCTTCGGCTATCCTTACCGTCACTTGACAAACATGGATTTGTTCTTGGGGCCCGCATTACTTGGTGAGATAAGCTTTCCTGTCCCTAACCGCTTCTCTAGTCGCTTTGTCTTAATTAAGCTTAGTCAATGTAAACACAATCATAAGCTGTTTAACCCGCTCAGAGTTGTTTGCAGAAACGTAAATGATGTCTATCACTTATTCTCGTTATCGGACTCTTTAAAGTCTATTAAAGCAATTTTGCTTAATATGCGCGATGCTATGTTGTACTTAAACTAACATTTCATTCTTAGTACCTCATTTTTTATTTAAAATAATATTGTGTTGTTAAAGTGTTGGTTGCCAAGTTTATGCATGTTTGCAATGGTTTAGGGGTTCACTTGCAACCTGGATCTGTTCTTGTTGCGGGTGTGCTTCTGTGCTAGCTGGGTACATGTTTTTTTTTTCTCCCTCTCTCTCTCTCTCTCTCTCTCTCTCTCTTTTATTTATTTATACATGAATTATCATTTTTAACTTTTTAATTTATTTTTAACTTAGTTTGTTATTATTATTCTTCCTTTTTTCTTCCTTTTTATTGTGTACTAGTTTTAAAACAATTAGTATAAGATTTTCTACTAAGATGCGCTGAATTTTCTTTAGTTGAATTTCATGTATAAATGTATAAAATAACAATAAATAAATAAATATAAATAAAATGAGACTCCTAAAAAGCTCACACGTCTATGTAAGTAAAACCATAAACACCTTTACTCTCCGTATTTTTGGCTTGTTGCTCGTAAAGTACAACACATACAACATAAAAATTTCCATTTTTAATCTGAAAGTAAAAAAAAACCGAATCCTCCCAATATTTTAGAATATGAAAATTCAGTTCTCTTACTCTTTTTAGGGTCATGGTGATGGGTATAAAAGATTCGTTTACCACCGACTCATGCCATATGGGGTCGAGTGTCTCTAATCAACGCTTGGAGTCTTCCGGCCACACATGCGAATGTAGACCATGTGTTTATACGGCTTTAAGACAAATGCGTTATATTCGCTTGCCCAATAGCTTATAACAATTAGAAAGCTACAGATGCAAGTACATCTTAAAGAGTTTTAATCTTCTAAACGTAACGTTGGCACATAGTGAAAAGAGAAATTGTACAAGGCGTATGAAGTCTTAATGTCAAGAAATGATGCGATACAAAACTTTCTTAGAATAGTAATATGGCTGCGTCTCGGTCTAAAGCCGAACAGAAGCTTGTTTAGTTGTGCAGTATTTAATACGGCGCTTGATTTATATGTATATATGTATGGAGTGCGCGCTCAAAAACCCTAGATAGGTACGGGACGATTTTCTATCATTATAAGCAAATCAATTTTGGTATCTTTACGCATCTTTGGACCCGGCCCTGTTGTCTTCTCTACATCCACTTTTCAAAGTTTAGAGGTTATACTCGTATGCTTCGGAACATAAAAGTTTCAAAGCAAAATCATCTTCGAAATCGACCGATATCCGATTACAGACAACGTCTCTGCTTTTAAATTTAAATGACACATGGGTATCTGATTATATATTAGTTTGGGGAAAAAGAAATCCATTATTTTTTCGGTAGATGGCTGCACTGATAGATTTCTCGTAAAGTATCGATCAAACAATTTCCGATACTGTACACTTACACACTGTACATTTCGCAGTAAAAAAAATTCTTTTGCTGTTTTTTGTTTGGTGCATTCAGTTGTGAGTTACAGCGTGTTAAAAATGGAAGTGAACAAAGAGAAAATTCGGTACATTTTACAGTTTTTCTTTGACAAAGGCGAAAATGCAAGCCAGGCGGCTAAAATTGTGAATGGTGTTTATGGTTCCGATACTGTAACAGCCAATTATGTGC